TAGCTGGATCACCCTACTGAGAGCCAACGTTTTGTTTATCATGTAACGGTTCGTTAAGGTTTTTTAAAAAATGTGAGCCCAGGGTAGCTCCTATAGGTGAGTGACCTTTCTGCCCGGAACAAGTTTTCTCCAAATAAGGTGAAAAGTAAGTATGAGAGTGGATAGGCTAGCGAGCGAGCGAGCAAGTAAGCAAGAAAGCAAGGAAGGAAGGAAGGAAGCAGGCAAGCACGGAAATAAGTAAGATTAGATTTAGTGATTATAGGACTTTTTAGAGTTTTTTTTAGATTTTTTTATCTACCATTCGATTCGATTCGCGCGAAGCTTTTCAATTAGGACATCTGCATAATAATCACGCTGCACGAATGCCATCTAAATTATTCAAACTTCAATTCTCTTAACAACTTCGACACTGAACGGTTTTCATTCTTGATGATGTTAGAAATATCGAAACGTCGAATAACGTTCCTCAGTTCAATTTTTCTTGTTGAATGCTTTAAAAAGCAACTGCCCATTCGATTATCTACCATTCCTGATAGAATTGGAACTCGGAAAGTGCACATTTTAAGGAAAGTAAACTTTAATAAACCTTTTTGGTAAGTCTAAAAACCATGACTGGATGGCTGCATGAATACGCTAGCGTTTAGAACACACAATTGCAATGCAGTGTTTGCAGCAGACATCGGATAGTAACGTTAGCTTAGCGTTAGCTTCCTAGCTAATCCTTGTATTTTCACTGAGTGTGCTTACATTAAAGCGTTTGACTAAGCCCGGTTTAATACACTTATTGAAGTGCTTGTCTTTCTGTATTTATAATAGACAACTCTATCACAGATGACTCCCAGTATACGAAAATATTAAATAAACAAAACTCAGAGAGAGGGTGGGGTGTATGCACACGCTTTGTAAGAGAACGAATCCAAGCTCTTTGTACGAACATTACTTAAACACTGTACATTTCAATCAATTAAACGCACGTTCGTATTTCTCTCTTTTGATTTTGCTTGAAATGTAAACGATAAGTTACAGGAAGTCAGGGGCACCCAATGTCAATTTTCGGAAAATATCTGTTCGGAAGACGATTTGAGATCTAGAATTTTCGGAACATTTGTTGTAAAATTTCTTGCCTGCTTGCTTCTCCTAAGATTTTCGAACATCTAAAAAATGGCCATGGTATAATTGCCCATTTTAAACAGATTTTTACCCTAAAAAGGTCACCTAGAATTTTCGGGAGCCTTTTTTCTATAATTTTTCCCTATAATTTTCGGATCACTCGAATTTCAGCTAGGAAATCCGAACAGATGAAAAATCTTTAGGGGATAAAAATATGCCTATATCTACCATTTAAATACTAAAATACGTCCACAATGCTATGTTTTTTTGAACTATACTCTCATTGGGCGCGCCTGAGGAAGTAGTTTGCTGTCGATTCAGTCGAAAGGGAATATAAAAAAACTAATTTACTAACATCAGTGTCAACAAAATTCTTGTGCTAAATCTCTGCGATTTACGAGCGTGTGACACAGTGCTTCGTTCAGAACCCTGTAGGTAGCGTCTGAACCGTTCCTTTGTTTCCAGTATAACAACATGGCGTATGCTTTTTCAGATATTCGTTCATGGTCCTTATCCATTTTTTGCAGCTTTGATTCACGGACTTGTAGCCGTCGCCCAAGCGTTCTCCAATCGTTAGAGAGTGTTATTGATAGATGTTCTAGTACATCGTCCGTTGGAATTCCTTTCTTCAATGCTCTAGGCTGTCCCGTACCCTGATTCGGCGTTCTTAGGTGTAATCTACACAACGGAGGTGCTCCGGCTTGTGATATGCTATAAAATTCCACTTGTGCTACATCTTTGCCACTAAGAAAACCAACCTCCAACTCAGCTTGCTCTGGAGAGTGCTCTAAAAGCCTAAGAGAAATTTCCTCCATGTCACTCTTTACATATGGGTATATTCCTCCTGATACAACCACGGATACCATATCGTGCTCAGGTCTTAAATCTTTCTTCGATATTTTCCAAGCAGGCGTTACACCTCGTTTTTCAAGATCTTTTAACACCTTTCCTTTAAGGTGGACAGGGCAACACATCACACACAAAATGTTTGAAAGATCCGGACGAAAGTAAGCGAAGAAGCCTGCCAGTCTGGGCTGAACAAAAATGCCGCTGTACTTTTTTAGGACCCGGTTGGTACGTTTACTTGTTACTACCGCTCCGGGTTGTACTTCAATAAGTTTCTCCCCTTTCGCATCATCTTCAGTTTCGGTGTCATCATCAGACTTTTCTTTCGATCCTCCGAGGTAACCTGCACCCAGGTCCTCCTCACTCGCTAACTCAGCCATTTGCTCATTTACTTCAGCATCTTCTTCTGAATCTTCTGTAAGTGCTCCTTGTGTTTCTACTGTAGTGTCCCGCGCAGATACAAAAAACATGTGAGTGTTCCGTGTTGCTTAAAATGTTGCAGGAACTATATAAAACATCTACACTCAACCTATTGACTTCCCGCTGCAATCGCCTTCACTTTGGCTATTTTTGTTATTTGTAAACCAAAAATCTGTATTAATTCGTTAACAAGTGGCCATTAGATTTTAGCTTGGAGCCGGACTGCAGGCCACTCCGGTGTCAAAAATTCGAGGGGGTTTTCTGTCAAGGCCGGCGCTGGCAGATAGCCCAGGAACAGCCCTAACATTTGGTAGGTGGCTCACGGATGCGGACAAAAGCAGTGGGGTAGGGAGAGGCCTTTTGACAGTAGTGAATCACTGTTGGGCTTAAGCACTGTCCATTAGAAGATTTGGCTAGAAAATGCTCTCTTTCATTTTACTGACCTACTTCAATCGGGCCTCTTCTCATAACTATCATGGCAATAGCAGCGCTCACGCGGATGAGCAGACAGGCAGCCAGTGTCTTGGGTGAGGAGGCAAAATTGCTCGTACCTCTAGGAAAATCCTAGCTACGCCCCTCAGATAATAATTCAAGAACTTCTATAGCGCTACGTACATAAAAATGATGAGTAGTGCTTTACAATAATTTACCTTAAAAATCTATTCTGAAACGCCTTAAAAGCTAAAATTGATACCTTAAAATGAACACGAACGAGTAGCCAGTGATTTCTAACAAACAAACCTGGATCAATGTCATATTTACCAACAGTAATACTACACGCAGTATTACAGTTGTAATGTTATTAATCTTGTAGACATATTAAATTCTGCAGGCAGAATACTGCAATGCTGATCGTACTACGTGAAAATTAACTCTGCAAGACATCAACACGACACAGAAAGAACTCAAAACAGAGCCCCCAAAAAGGGCGAAACAGCTGTCTACGACTACAATCCCGCTCTGTTTTGAGTTCTTTCTGTGTCGTGTTGATGTCTTGTAGAGTTAATTTTCACGTAGTACGATCAGCATTGCAGTATTCTGCTTGCAGAATTTAATATGTCTACATTATTATTTTGGCTGATCAGGTCTTTATAGATCCCACGTCCTTCGGCATATTCGTTTGCGGTCGTTTGCAGTCCTTTATGGTTAATGTTTGTACTTTATTAATCTTAGCTAGCTGCTTTCTACTTCCTCTTAACAAAAATTCTGCTTCATCGTCATTTATCATTTATTTCTCCGTTATCATCCAGTTTCTTAAATCGTCAATGTATCTTCCATGGCGCCAATACCTTTATTCTGACTGTTAGTTTCATCAGGTTTTAAATTCAGCTAACGTTGTGTGTCATCAACGAAACAATGCATAGTAGGAAAATGTTTTTCAACAACGTTAAAGAGATTCTACGCATAAAAACAAATTAAAAAGGTCCCATACACGAACCTTGCGAAACATCATGGACATGAAGTCAGGCCACTTTCAAGCAGAAATACGCGCTTTTCGTAATATTTTTTTGTGCAAAATGTTCCCAGTCAAACTCAGAAAACCTTTAACATCTTAAAAATTTCTGTAACGTTATTGCCGCATTTGAATATATTTATATAGATATTTGCGCCTTATAAGTTTTAAAATGAATAAAATAATTAATTAGAGAGAAAAAGAGAATCAGGCGTGGGAAAACTAAGCAACGATAATAAGTTTGTGATTTTCCGGCATGCTAGAATGTTCATACCTCCAGCAACATTAATCACGAGACAATGAATATTCACGACTTATTTCTAGTTTTCACAATTTTCTAAGTTTGACAGTAATTACAGTAATTGGACCATGAGCATGAATATCGCTCCAGTCGGCAACGTACATCAGTAATAGTCCATTTTACAGTTACAGATGGAAACAAAGCTGGCGTTGACCTTGGTTTGATACTGCTCTTCCTGCTTTATTATGTAAAGCACGTTGTTCTTATGCTAACTAGTATTCTTTAGTATAATTTTCATAGGAAAAGGAAGGAGGTTTGTATCAAAACAAAGGCAATCTCAGCCTCACGTTCACTCAAAGGCTAGGATACTAAGCCCACAACTGTGAAATAGTGTATCATTTGAGAGAATTGTTGAGTGGTTAAATAGGGTCCAGTTTTCAAAACAAGAAATTCTGAACTCCCAACCAATGTTGACTTGTTTCTTGTTTCCTGCAGGTAACTTGAGCAGCGGCGAAACATTGTTTATGGCGGAAAGGAGGGAAAGGTTGTCTTTCCCTTCTTGAGGTAGGTGGTGTCAGTAAATTACAAAGAATTTCGTCGTGAACAAAGCTTCTCAAATAATGTTTTTACCGATTGTTCGTTCTAGTCCATTTGGGGAAATGTAAGAATTTTAATTTTTTAGTATAATCCAAATGCTGAATGACGTCTGTAATATTTAAGTCATGAAACTACAGCATGAAACGAACCATGTGCTAGTCCTCCATTTTTAATGTACTGCGCAAGTGCAAAATGCAAGGAGCCTGGAACCTAATATATTACACTCCTCCCTAATAAATGGGTTGGTTAGCATAACAACAGCAACAATAAAATGCACGTCTAACAGATAAACAATGTTCAGTGTTCGTCATCTACTTAAAGAAGATTCACATTTCACATGAATCTGCGTGGTGGTCTCCTCTCCCGACTTGGGTACCTCGGTTCTGCGCGCGGTGACAATGGTGTCCCTGTGGGACTTGCTACCTCCAAAGCGTCTCCCAACGATGATTCTGGTGTCACCTCAGTTGTGTCCTGTTCCTCCACGTCACCTGCGTCAGGAACTTCTCCTGTCTCGGATATATTAACCAGTGGTTCAGAAGGACTCCACGCTCCACTCTTCACTTCAGTTAGGAACTTAGCAAGTTTCGTGCGTAATTACCATCTTCCTCGCGCTCTCGAGATCTTGAAGACTGGATACAACGAGCACTCTTCAAATGGTCCACATGAACAAATCGTATTTGATCCCCACAGCGAACTAGGTAAGTGCGCAGACCTTTCATCTGATTGATCCGTCCAGGAATCCACCTTTCAACTCTACGCCTCTAATTACGAACCAAGACCACTTCATTCAAATTGAACTCTCGGAGTTTCACCCGTCTTTCATCGTGGTGCACTTTCTGCTTCAACTATTGCTCCTCCATGGCTCTGTTAAGGCTGGATTTTAGTAATGTAAAACAGTTCCTAATCTGTCGTCCCAAAAACAGCTCAGCGAGAGATTGCCCAGTGACAGTATGAGGTGTGCTACGATTCAAAATAAGAAAGTTGGCCAGCCTATGCTCCAGACTCAGGGAATTTGCTTTGCCATTCAGCACTTGCTTGGTCAAAACCGTCTTGGCGGTCTGTACAGAACGTTCAGCAGCTCCATTAGATGCAGGACGGTACGGTGGAACCAGGGTAAACCTGATTCCATGCTACTTCAAGAATTGAGAGAAATCTTCCGATGCTAGATCCCCGGCCCGTTGTCCGAAACCACCTCTTCCGGTATTCCGTAGCGTGCAAACAACGAGCGCAAAACCTCGATGGCTTTCAAGCTGGTCATGGAACCCATGGGAATCACCTCCAACCACTTGGAATAGCCATCAACGACAATCAAGAAATTCAACTTGCCCTTCTCAAAGAAATCAATGTGGATACTCTCCCACGGCTGAGCAGGCCATTCCCAAGGGTATAATTGTACCCTTGGAGGGGACTTGCCCAAGGCAGCACAAACATGACATTGCTGAACTCTCTCAACAATAGCAGCATCCAATACCGACCACCAAAAATAACCCCTCGCGAGCGACTTCATCCGGCAGATTCCGTGATGCTCTTGGTGCAAGTCATGCAACAGACGAACACGATACTTCTCTGGAATAACCACAAGTAAACCCCATACAGCCTCGGTCAACAGAAAGTTCTTGCTTTCGTGAAAAGCAGGGCTGCAACACTGGATCATCTAGCGCTTGGGGTCATCCATGCAAAGGGAAGTCGTACAGACGAGCTAAAATCGGGTCTTTTCTAGTTGCAGCCGCAATGTCTTGGGCTGCAACTGGAAGGTCTTCCAGGTAACTGATCAAATACACCTCTTCCTCCCCCTCTTGCTCTTCAAAAGACGCCTGTACCAGTCTTGACAAAGCATATGCATGTTCAGCAGACTTCCTATACTCAATTTCATACTGATAAGCTGCTAAAATCAAAGACCACCTGTGCATTCTTGGTGCGACCAGCGGAGGTACACCAGTCTTCGGCCCAAGAATTGTGACCAGCAGCTGATGATCTGTAAGCAATGTAAACCTCCGACCATACAGATAACAATGGAACTTTTTCACTCCAAACACGATGGATAAGGCCTCGTTCTCTATTTAGGAATAGTTACGCTCACTAGCTGCGAGAGTTCAAGATGCAAAAGCAATAGGCTTTTCCTCGCCATTCTCCATAACATGGGAGATAACCGCTCCTACCCCATAGGGTGATGCATCACAGGCCAGCCGAAGTGACTTCTTCAGATCATAATGGACCAGCAAAGGAGAATCTTGTAACTGCCTCTTACTCTTAACAAACGCTCTCTCACACTTCTCCGTCCACTTCCAAGGTCTATACTTTTGCAAAAGGCCATGAAGAGGATGCAGTGTAGTCGCCAGATTGGGCAGGAACTTTTGTGACTTTTGCGACCAATCCCATCCTCGTCGCCAAATGCAATATTTAAGTCATGAAACTACAGCTTGAAACGCACCATGTGTTAATGTATTGCGCAAGTGCAAAATACAAGGAACCTGGAACCTAATATATTACAAGGTCACTGGGTCCCCAAAGCCCCAGCCACATCCTGTAATATTGAGATGACAAAGTAGAGTTTATCACAAGATAACTCTAACCTTTGACAAATCTTTTAACGAAAAAAAAATCCAATAAAGGCAGGGGGAAGGGTGTATCTGGAGAACAATCCACATCCCAAGACCAATAATTTCCAAGAAATGAAGTTCACAGTGATGTCTTGAAAGATGTAACCGACATTTTAAAAATTAATGTAGCTGCACAAAATATCAAATATAAGGTACAGCCAACTCTCTTGTAAGTGACCATCCCTGGTGCACGGCAAAGTGGTCGCTTACGAGAGGTGGTCGTCTACGGGAAAAATCAAGAAAATAAGCTTAAACTGGACTGATTAAAGTAGTTACGTGAAGTTATTACCTTACAAGCTAAATAAGGCAAATAGACAAAGTGTAATAATGTTTCGTATCGAATAGCACTTGGAACTGTCAAAACTTTGTACATAACATTTTACATCATTTTAACAATCCACTTTTTTACTTTACAGATCGTATTACGGCTATCGTTTTTGCAAGTAAACTGCTATAATCTGTCAGCAAGCGTGGTCAGTGCTAAAAAACTGAACTTTTGTGACGGCATTCGAGCAATGGCTTTTTACAATCAAACGTGATCATACCGGGCGGTCGATTACTGGAAACAGAAAACAAAAGAATATGTAAAATTTCTGGCCTTAAAAGTGGTCGCGGTCGCTTACGAGAGAATTATTATTACTCATCATGGATTTAGACCGATGCACTCTTCTTTGACTGCCTTGCATGCTTGAAGCTAAGAACAACTGGTACTTAAATATTTATTATGGCCTAATTAACAACGTACTTTTCCTAGATCTTGACCCGGTTGACCACAGCATATTGTTGAAAAAACTCTGCAGGTCTAGGCACAGGAATTCAAGTTATGGAATCATAATGATTTATTTGATGATGGAATAGCACTCTTCAGATCATAACAAACCATAACTATGCTGCTTACTGAGCACATACAATCATTTCAAAATCATAGGCATGATGCAATTTGTACTCATGGAATCATATATGGAATTATATGTACACATAACATCATCTCTGGAAAAATGTCTATACCTGTCGCTTAGCACGATTAATTAGCCCAATGGGATCTTTATAAATCTACTGGAACAGTTCTCTGGAACAGCCTACCCTGTCATGTGAGAGAAGCCGAATCTCTTAGTCAATTTAAAAGATTAGTCAATGTTCATTTTTAATGTTATACACGGCATTCATGAAAAACAGGTTTTAGTTAGATTAGTTGTAGTCAGGTTTTGAATTTTGTTTAGGATAGTTAGGTTATTTTTAATTTTTTAAATTCCTGATGGATTTTACCGTGTTTAAATAAAGATTGACTTGACTTGACTTGACTTGACTGTAAACGATTTCTTCGCTTCTTATCTGACCCAGATCGACTTGTGAAAATCGATAACCACAAGCCATATCCTCGCTGGCGCACGGCACGTCGCCCGAAGGGCGACCGAGGCACGAAGTGCCGAGTAAAAGAAAGGACAAGGGAGGAAATTTGTACCACGTGACTTCGTTCGCTGTGAACCGCATCACTCGGTGACGGAAGTGAATGAGACCGGAAACGCAAAAGCAACAGACCGCTACTAATTCGAGAATCAAAACATCAGCTGCGGAGGGAGTTTTAAAGATCTCAGAGATCTACGCGAAGGCAACAGAGTTTTAATTGAAGTGAAGATCTTTCAAGACTGGACATTTGTTGTACGTGTCAACAGTCTTCGATGTCTTAAGCAGGTTTTGCTTGTGCGAAGGCTTCCCAGTAGTCGCAAAATGCACAGCCAAAGACGCAAGAGGTAAATACAGTTGGTGTACTGCTAGCTGCGAGTCGCCAAGGTTTCAAATACTGCACATGGTTTATTTCGTCCAAAATGTACAGAAATACAGGAGATATAAAGAATGCGAAATGTACGTAAAGATATCAACAGGAACTACAATCAGTCAAGAAATGTTAAAGCAAACCGTAAATAAGAATAATATTCACGTACCCGTTGCTGACTCTCAAGTTTCGCAACTAGTAGTAACGATCTTACTAATCAACGATTGTTACGTCGTCGTCGTTAGTCGTGATTATATCACGCATGAATTTCGTGTTACACCGAAACACTCCCCCGCCACTCGAAAAGGAAAGTTACATTAAAAATACAAAATTTATTTCAAGTCCAGTTTCACGTAGAGTATTTCAATATCAGAAAAATTAGTAGTAGTTCAATTTTTTGTGTCATTATCTTCTTCCTTTGGTATCAAAACAACCAATTTGTTTACTGCTCGTTCAACGGTAACGAAACCTCTGCCATGGTACTCGTTGACAGCTTCTCCTGGTTTTGGATTTTTGTAGTGCACTTGAACTTTCCTTACTCTGCCATCTCCTCCAGGAAAGGCTTTAAGCAGAGTCCCAAGCTTCCATTGTCCTCCTATCTGGTTTGCGTCTTGGATAAGGACTACATCGCCTTCACGAAGATTTCGCTGTGCAGTGTGCCACTTTGGCTGAATCAGTAAACTTGGAAAGTAATCTCTGGTCCACTTCTTCCAGAAATAGCTCACGATACTTTGGACGAATTCAAATCTACGGCGGAAATATGAAGTTTCTCTTAAGGGTCCGCTTGGTACTCTTGATGTCGCTCTTCCTAGCAATAAATCATTGGGACAGAGGTACGTCCCATCATCAGGTGAATTAGGGTGTCTTCCGATTGGTCTTTTATTCACAAGATTTGCCGCTTCAAAGCAAACAGGTTGAAGCTCGGAAAATGTCAAAACATGATCACTGATTGCTGCTGTTATTGCTCGTTTTATGGACTTAACCAATGCTTCAGAAACTCCGTTTTGCCAGGGTGCATCAGCTGGCGCAAAATCCACTTGAATCCTTCCATCACGCCAAATGTTTTGAGTTCCTCTTGGTTCCAACCCTTAACTACATTTTTTAGTTCTTCGTTTGCGGCGACCAGTTGAGGGCCATTGTCTGAATAAAGTTTGGACGGAAAACCTCTAATTGATACGAATCTTCTGAGGGCCATGAGAAATTTTTCAGTGCTGTAATCCGCAGCTAGATCTACGTGAACGACACGGGTAGCCAAGCAGTTAAATATCACACCATATGTCTTCCCAATAGTTCTTTTCTTCACCTCGTCTTTAATTTTGAACGGACCAAAGAGATCAATAGCTGT